AAAGGACTCATCCAACAAATTATTGTTACCCTGCATCAGCGAAGTAGAAACCCTCGAATCTTTGATTATCATGTAATTTTTGCAATGGCATAATATTTATCAAGCAGTAGGTATGTAATAATTGAAAGGTTTTACGGGGATGGAATCAAATTATATTGGTCTCATCTATTGCAGCATGTTTGGGTTAATAAAGCTTTACTGTGTTGGATCAAGAAAACAATATTTTTTTGGGTGAATGAAAAAACAGTATGAACATACTGAATGATGGAAACAGAAAATCTGCGTTCTGCAAGTCAGCTCGGTCATCTAGTCACCATTTAATGGACTATTAAATGGTTAGTTAAATTCCATTCATCTCTGTAGTGAAGATAGTGTTTGAGATAATGTTTGAATAAAGCGAGAAGCTTGTTGAGAGATTCAGACGTACTGGTGCAATTTTTTGTTTAATTAATTTGCATTTTTGCTTTGATTAGACTTAAGTGTTCTACGACGAAAAAATATGCTTACTCCTTTGTAGTCCTTACATGGCACTTATAATATACTAGTTGGCAAACTCGGCTCCGCCCGGCCCTGTCAATAACATATTTGTAATCAGCATGCTCGATTACCCCCCTGTGCCAACTCCCAGCCCCGTAGCTCAAATTTTGCAAAAAAATCGATAAAATCGATATCGATCGATAACGAAAAGTAGCCTATGACACCCGCCGGGGCCCGAAGTGTATGTGTGCCAAGTTTGGTCCGGATCGGTTCAGAAATGGATTTTTCTATTCGGAACATACGTACACACAGACATACATACAGACAGACAAACAGACATTCAGCTTTATATATAAGATAGTAATTCTTAAACAGTGACAAAGTTAGAACATTGTGGGAGTCACATAAGAAAGTACCTAAACGATTTCGAAAGTACATCTGTACTTTGATCAGCTAGGAGTTTGCAGATCTGCATGATTTGTTTGATATGGTTATTGAGTAGGGGAGGGGGGGGGACTTTCTCACCCGAGAAATATTTTCGCACTCAACAAAGGAAGTTCACTTTGTCGAAGCGGCGATTTGAAAAGTGATAAACTCATGGACAGAGTTTTGAATGTAGATGTCAGACAACCTTCTATATCTGCGATGCGCTCTTCTGAAAAAAAATTGTAAGCTTCTCTTACGCCAAATTTTCGTGCATTTTTACTCGTAAAATCACGGTAATTTTCAAACGAAAGTATGCAGGCTCAGGCAAAGCACCTGATGAGCATTGTAGGTCTAATCTATTATCATTCGAACTTTTTCGAATGTTGCTCATCTATGTTGTTATTCACAAATCGTCATTTTCCTTCTAGAACACACTTCCATTACAGATACAAAAAAGCCCATACTTCCCACGAAAGAGGTGATGACGCAGATGTACACGCTACATTTGAGGTCAACGTTTAAAGCGCTATGCAAGGTATACATTACCTTCGATCGTCACTTCGACCGAACTTCGTTTATAAGTGACTAGATGGCTTACCCGGCTCCGCCAGGCCCTGTCATTATTTTATTCGTAATCAGCATGCTCGATTATCCCCCCTGTACCAACTCCCAGCCCCGTAGCTCAAATTTTGCAAAAAAAATCATAAAGTCGATATCGATCGATGACGAAAAGTAGCCTATGACACCCGCTGGGGCCCGAAGTGTATGTGCGCCAAGTTTGGTCCAGATCGGTTCAGAAATGGAATTTTCTATTCGGAACATACGTACAGACAGACATACAGACAGACAGACAGACATACAGGCATACAAACAGACATTTAGCTTTATATATAAGACTAGCGGCCCTACGGGCCATTAGTTGGTGGGTCGAGGCAAATTCGTGGACATTATCAGAAAAGAACGATAAGGCTCAAAGCCCAAATTAGCCTAACAGGAAGCGTCTTTAGTCGAATGGCCTTTCCAAACGGAGTCCTAGATCACTTTGAAGAGCATTAAACGCTGATTCGAAATCTGTTTTCGCTATCTGCCAAACGCCCTTGGGCGCGGAGTTATGTTTTTTGGAGCAAAAAATGAACGCAGAATCTATGTTAAAACAGTAGTTACAATATTTCCTGCGCTCAAATAAAGCACTGTTGAGGGTATAAGGGTATTAGACAGAAGGTATTTATCAGGTGAAGTGCTCCGATAATGAACACCTGATCATCTAAGCAGTCTTGGACATTTTGTTCCAGTTATGCACTCAGTTTTTCGAAATAGAAAGTGCACATAACTCGGCCTCCAGAGGCGCTTGGCAGATATGGAAGACGGATTTGGAATCCCGTTCAATGCTCTACAAAGTGATATAGGTGACACGTGGAAAGGCCACTTCGACTAAAGACGCTTCCCTTGTAAGTTAAAAAAATGACGCAATCATTTGGAGGCAGTTTGACTGATTCGTTATGCTATCGTTAGCTGCGAAGCATCATTCCGAAAGAAGATTGTGACCTTATTCGTGAGCTAAGTTTGCTGTTTCTGATGTTGTAATATCACCGTCTAGACACACGCAAAAGCATAGTACTCCCTATAGAGCAAAAAAACCTGACTTTGTAATATTTGGTATACCGGCATTTTTTTAGGGCAAATGTTCATTACAGAGCGTCTAATTATATTCAGTAAGTTGATGATCACGCATACTAATAATTTCGTATAGTCTGTCCCAATCCCAACCAGGTCGAATTGGGCAATGGCCCTCGTCGCCAGGGTTTCTGCGTCACGCCCACAGTTACCTCGTCTGTTCTCGCTTCAATCCCTTAGCTTTTTCTGACAGTGCGCATACGCAGCGACAACGATTGGGCCTGATCCCAATTAGGACAAACTGTACGTTGAACTGCCAGCGGCCTTAGCGGTTTATAAGACATTTGAAATGAGTTTATCCCTTCTATATATTTTCAATTCGGTGTTATGTACATAATGTATATTTTTACTGCGTTTTCATAATGCCAGGTGAACATTACAGAGAGCTTCGAAATTATTTCAGACAACTTCAAAAGCAGAACTGTTTCCATCGTTTTATTAAATGCCGGTAGGCTATTGTCTCAGATAGGATTAGCAGTAGGAGGCAGTTGTTTATACAATGCGATTAGCGATGAAAACAGTGATACAGTGAGTGAGTAGTATTAAAACAATATCTTACGAATAGATTAGAGTGTATGAAAGCATGTGTTAACAGAAGATGTTGTGATTGCGCACCGAGTATGAGAGTGGGGGGAGGGGGTAGATGATAGCTCGACTCCAATCCATAAGCCGGTACCGTTCAATTTGACACCCTGAAAGCATTGCAAAATGGTGTCCAAATAGTAACCAGGAAAGTAGATATGCCGCAGTTAGCGGTTATAGTACGATTAGGCTGTGTTCATACTGATCTCGAAGTCCGGGAACAGTTTTAGCACAGCGCTCAATTTCGAGCATTGTGCTGGAAATGTTCCCGGACTTGGAGATCAGTATGAACGCAGCCTTAGTGAATGCAAACGTATCTCACTGAAGAAGGTTAAAACTCCATCAACGCGCAATCAAAAAAACTACCTACTGCTACTTATCCATAGCAAGAATGACGCATCCTATTGCAAATAATTCAACGAAGATACAAGAAATTGCGTAAACATGTTACATAATGAATGTTACCCACTGATTACTACGGAAGCTGATAAAAGCTGCAAAGTTCCTAGGTTATGACAAATGAGGGCATTCAGCGTGGATGGCAGGAACATTTTCGTGTACAAAGATGAAAACCGATATGGTTTACTGAAAAAGGAAACGATTAGGGATCGACCAAAGCAAACCAAAACAACGACCTAATGTCGTTGCAGCATAGAAAGCGTGGGGCTTATTTGTAGTGAAAATATTAAAAGTCCTGAAAAACAAACTAACATGTGATTGATTTTAGATGTTAAATGCTGTTCATAAATCAGAGTAGCGCATGAAACCTCGAAGTACAGTCGTAATTTGGCGAAGCAACCAGTCAGAGAAACAAAGTTCGGTAATAACCGCTTCACTGGAAAAAAACAGTAGACAAATAGATTGTTGAACGATGAAAAGAGTCACCCAATGCTGTTGATCCATAAAAAGCGATACCTTGCTGTAAATGTATGAACAAAAGTTTTAGATGTTGCTCGAAGTGATTCACTACAGTTGTGATCCACTCCTACACTGATGGCCTCCAAAACATCCAAGTACAGGGCATCAGGATTAAGGGCAATAAACAAAATGTCAACATAATTGCGTTACAAAACTGCGCCACTGAAAAAGGAAACAGTAAAAAGACGATTTAAGCCAAAAAAGAACTACCTGATGCTGTTGATGCGGAACAAGCGCGACGCTCCTATAAGAGATCTAACGATGAAGATATGATGCAGTAAACGTAATGTGTTATAGAGGGGATCCATTGGTGTTCAAATAAAGGTAACTAAAGTCTTCAAGTAGAGTTGCGGTTTCGATCGAGGGGCAGTTACAATAACGGTAAGAAGGCATCAAGTGCACCGATGTTTTATCGGAAAAAATAAAAATGAAAAGTTAGCCAACGTCTGATTGAAGGGCCTACCTAACGCTTTCAAATCGTCATAACCTTAACCCTTTACTTGTCGCAGATGTCGATAGAAGCACAAAGACAAACCATAGTAAGGGCAAAGGAGAGCAGTCACTGTGGTGAAACAATGCTGGGGACCTTTCACTGAAAAGGGGAAAAATGAGAATCCGGCCAGCCTCTAATCAGAACAAATACCTGCCACTGTTGATGCACAGCCCACAGCATACAAGGCGTTAAGATACGGAAAATGCACGCGATTATCCATGAATATGATGCACAGCCACACAACGACGGGAATCCATATAGGCTTTGATTGATCAACCGTGGCTACGACAAATACCTGCCACTGTTGATGCACAGCCCACAGCATACAAGGCGTTAAGATACGGAAAATGCATGCGATTATCCATGAATATGATGCACAGCCACACAACGACGGGAATCCATATAGGCTTTGATTGATCAACCGTGGCTACGACGAGCGAGAGCATCCGCCGGCAGTGAGGGAACAGTTTCGCTTACGATAAGCTACCACTATGGTTTACTGAAAACGAAACAATGAGGTATCGATCAAGGCTCATACCGGAAAAGATGAAAATGAAAAGTTGGCTAACGTTTGATTGAAAGGCCTACCTAACGCTTTCAAATCGTCATAAGCTGAACGCTTTCTTGTCGCAGATGTCCTATAGAAGCACAAAGTCAAACCATAGTAAGGGCAAAGGACAGCAATCACTGTAGTGAAACAATGCTGAGGACCTTTCACTGAAAAGTGAAAAAATGAGATTCCGGCCAGCCTCTAAAAGCCTACCACTATGGTTTACTGAAAACGAAACAATGAGGTTCGATCAAGGCTCAATCAAAGAAACGATCTTACTGCAAAATAACGTGGAGTGTTTCCTTGCGGCAGATTTAGTGATGTTAACGTGGCAGACATGAAGCGTGATCCATTGTAAATGTGATTCGTTACTGTTCATAGAGCGAGGATAGAAACTTCCAAGTATGATCGTGGCTCGACTGAAAACGCTAGCGATAAATGGGTAGGCTGATAGGAAAAAATGAGAAGAGAATTGACATACAACTGAAAGAAAAACCTAAGGCTTGAACCGTAACAAGCGTCGCGGATCATTATTGTAGATCCGATAAAGTACGTAAAGCTGCACGACTTGTGATGGACAAATGCGTAGGTGATAGATTTGTAGGAATTGCACGACACTCGATGAGACAACGCGCATACATACAAAAAGTATCCGGGGAGGTTCTCATCGGTCTAATGCTGTCCTAGTAATGGAAAAAACAAAGGCGTGCGATTTCTATGCAACGAAACATTAGGACTTAGAAGAAAATATAAGCAACATTGCGCAAAAATTCTAGGCAAGATCATCAAGTCAAAAGCTATATAGGGGCAAATCTGGGCACCCGGGCAGTGCCGTACTGTCAATCTGTCAGTAACTATGTGCCAAATTTGTAAGACTGCTGTAGGGCTTAGCTGAAAAGTGTGCAATGTTTTGATCCGTTTATTAGCGAGGTAGGTACGCAATTGAACGTAATGTTTTGACCAACTTCGCCAAAGCTAGAAAGACTACATCGCATTTATGAGAACTTCACCGGAAACCATTCATACAGTCTGCTCCAATCGGGATCAGGCCGAACCGTCGGCATAAACTTACGGGCTCGCAGCGCTAGCGGTCTGCGCTGCATGTGCGCGCTGCCGCAGAAGCAAAAAGATTGAAGAGAGGGCAGAGAAGCAGGCCATGGGCGTGACCGCGAAACCCTAGCCGCGCGGTCTCCCGCCATGCCAATTTTGGCCTGGTTGGGATTGGGGCAGACTGTAGTTTACAGTTAAGAAATGTCAGTGAGAGGGCGAAGCCAGTAGTCTGCGTGATCTAAAATGGAAGTTTGTAAGTTTCGTGCTAGTATCCTCAGATTATTATTACCTACAAAAAATGCTTCTAAATCGTTCCTATCCATCATCTAGTAGGTGTTATAGCATGTTTAATTGGTTCATCTTGTTGGACGCAAGTGCAGAGTGTGGAGTGGCATTGGGTTTTATGAGCGTACTATTTCGTCGTAAACAAAATTCCTAATTACTGGAGCTTGAGGGACTGCTTCGGACCAATTTCTCGTAACTTTTATACCGCTGCTGCTCGTGCATCGCGATAATGCCACATAAGTACTGCCATGCGCGAACGAGGGAGTTCGCAGAATAACGCCCATTTTATTGAATGACTGTCCTTGACTTTTGTTGATTGTCATGCAGAATGCAAGCCGAATTGGAAACTGGAATCTGCAGAGACCAACACCGGTCTTCTCGTTAGTATAATCAAGGTTCATTCTGTGTATGTATGCATCCTCGCCATTGGTCAGATTCTTGCAACGAAGGAGCTTGTTCTCATTGTGGAATGATATCACAACAAGTCTTGTCCCATTGCAAAGCTGCGATGACACATCCACATTTCTTAGCAGCATCACAATTGAGCCAGGCTTAATCCGCAAAATGTACGGCGGCAATGACGCAGGCATGATATAATGGAAGTACTCCGCGTTGTCGCAAGGTAATCCATGCAAGCCGTCCTCCTCTACAGAAGGTGTATCTATTCCGACTAAATCAACCGTATCTCCTGCTAGCTTCTCCAGCACCTTTATGTTGAGTTCTTCTACGTCGCAGTTACGCACGGTCAGCAAAGCAACTCTCGCGAGCATTGAGGAATCATTCAAGAGCTCGGGTGTATAGATCCATTCGATGACATCATCTTCGGTAGTCATGCACATAGAGGATGGTAGCAAAATGTTGTCGTCACTGTAGAAGTTATCCCCAGTTCCGACGGAAAGAAGCCATCTTGTATATTGCTTTTCTTCGGCACCCATCCTCAGATTCTCATCGAGAGTGAAAGTCGTGAAGTGTCTCCAAAGTTGGCTATTCTTGCATGTAGAATCTAAAGTCTCTTGTCGCGTGCCGCCTTGTATGACTGGTAAAAATTGGCACTAATCTCCTCCTAAAATCATGGTAACACCACCAAAAAGGGTGTGGGCGAGAGATGATGCATCTTTGGAAGACTGTGGACTAAAGAGTACCAAAGATGCTCTTTTGATTGAATGCGGCGGTGACCTTGGTGGCAGAGTAAGCCCAGAAGTTGAAGAACACATCGACAACGTCGCAGAAAATTTGACACCTGCACAAGAACGAATTGTTAGTGCGATAATGGCTGAATCTAGACTGCCCAAAGGAAGTGGCAAAAAACTCTATTACATAGATGGAAGGGCGGGATCTGGCAAAACTCGCACACTAAACGCCTTGATCACTTTATTGGAAGCAGAGGGCAAACGAGTTCTATCGACGGCATCCACTGGCATTGCTGCTACGCTGTTGAAACACGGAAGGACAGCGCACAGTCTTTTTTGTCTACCGGTAAAAAAACTTCATAGTTGGTCAACGGCTAATGTGGAAGCATCGTCACCTATCGGTCAAATGCTAAACACCGTGGATGTTATCGTCTGGGACGAAATTTCGATGCAATCGCGTTTTGCTCTAGAATGCGTCGAAAGGCTTTTGCGCGATGTTGATACGAGAGATACGGTTGATTTAGTCGGAATAGATACACCTTCTGTAGAGGAGGACGGCTTGCATGGATTACCTTGCGACAACGCGGAGTACTTCCATAATATCATGCCTGCGTCATTGCCGCCGTACCAGTCAATGTATGAGGTCTACCTTACTGAAGCCAATGCATTGCGCATCAAGGATGAAGACGTCTTACCACAAATCCTGATGAACTTGAAACACAAACGAGAGCTACCAGATAACTGTATCGTCCAATACTCATGAAGCACGTCTGAATGTACCTAAGGTAGACAATGTGGTTGCAGCTATATACAGAGTGTCCCAAATAAATGTGAACACTGTTTGATCGTTGATAACTCCCTTGCTTTTATGTCTTCCGCCGAGCTTGAGGCACCATTCTATAGAGCCAAGCCTAACTTAGATCTACAGTATGGAGCGAGTCGTCGATCGCTCTTCATTACTGTAGGATTACGGTAGGAACTTTGACAAGGATTTTAAACGGTTGAAAGCCATATTCTGCCTCGGAACAAAACCAAACAGGCCAAAAACTTTTATACATGGGTAATGGAAGCCGCTGAGTTCGAATATGAAATTTCCACTTCACTATGACGCTTCCTTTTGAGGTTATCCCAGGTAAACCTTAATAACCGAATTTCCAGCATTTATCAAAAATGTGATTACCCTTCAAAAAAGCTAAAAACACTCGTAAAAAGGTGCGTTATGGAATCAGCGTGCGCGAAACCCTTAGTACACGATTTTTCAGTTTTTTTGAAAAAAATTTTGTCAAATGGCATACTTCCCAATAGATCCACATGCCAGAAGTTCCTACCGTAATCCTACAGTAATGAAGAGCGATCGACGACTCGCTCCATACTATAGACCTAAGTTGAACCTCGCTCTACAGAATGCTGCTTCAAGCTCGGCGAAAGACATAAAAGCAACGGAGTTATTAACGATCAAACAGTGTTCACATTTTTTTGGGACACCCTGTATGTTTGTCGCAACGGTGTCTTCCCCACTGAGGACGAACTCGATAAAGGATTGCGTGTCTACAGTAGAGGAGGGCGATCAATTGCCGCTCATCACAACAACAATATTGATGCCATGTCATACCCTCTCTACTTCCCCAAGGGTGAGCAAAGCTTCGTGCGCGAAAGCTTGCCGAAGTTAACTCGAAAGCGAACTGCTCCAGTTGATATCACTGCGGATGAATCACGTCAGACGGATTTATTTTTCTCCGATGACCAAGACAAAGATGACCAAACGGATTCTCCTTCCCCTAAGTTCCTTTCCCGTGGCGATTTTTATCGGTTTATCCTTTCGCGGCGTGGCAACTTGTTGGAGCATCGTTTTTTTATGGCAGCGGCAAATTGCTATCTCAGTTTATCATACACGTCTACACCAGAATTGAGGCGGACCTTCTTTCTGTTATTGGTAGGACCACCACACAAATCAGAGGTACCAAAGCCACAACACTGTGCACTTACTTGGATCAGCAACTACAGGACAAGGGTTTCAAGCTCGGCAAACTCATAAATTTGCCCCGTTCCTTTGTTGGCAGTACGCTATGGTATGATCAGCTTTATCACAATGCAATGGCTGTCGCTCAACGCCTAGGAAAACCTGATCTTTTTATAACATTCACCGGCAACCAGGATTGGCCAGAGATACGTGAAAATCTGGTGACTCGTTTTGATTCTTGGATAACCGATCCCCCTTCTTTGCGCGAGGGTGTTCAGACTTCGTCTGCAGAGTTTCATCAAAGAAATTAACGACAAGAAGGTGTTTGGAGAAGTACTTGCTTTACAGCGTCGAATTTCAAAAGAGAGGCATGCCACACGCGCACATACTCGTCACCCTGCGCGAAAAACTTGATACTCCAGAGAAAATCGACGCATGCATATCGGCAGAACTTCCGGAATATCCCACAACCGACTATCCGGATGTTGCTACAAAACTGCAACTGTTCAATTTAGTAACTCGCTTCATGGTGCACGGCCCTTGCAATTCACGTCCAGATCTTGCTTGTCGCTCGAAAAACGCTGCTTTTTGCGACAAACACTTTCCGAAGCCATTCCGGGATGCTACCGAACTCACTGATGATGGATATCCGTTGTATCGTAGACGAAATAATAGCAGAACCGCACCTGTAGGAAAGAAACGAATAACTGTGGCATCCAATGCAGACGTCGTTCCCTACAACGCATACCTTCTAATGAAATACCAATGTCACATAAATGTCGAAAGTTGCTGTTCGATTAAGGCCTTCAAGTACATCTACAAATACATCTACAAGGGCCCCGACCAGATAATTTTTGAGATGCTCCGAAATGAACAACTTCTAGCTATGAATGCTAAACTGCATGCAAACAACGATAAAGTTGTGGACGTAGATATGCGCCAAGTTTTTTTGGAAGCACGTTGCTTATCGCATATGGAATCCGCTTATCGATTACTTCGTTTTCCTATGCAGTATAATATGCATACAGTGATCTTTCTTAGCGCTCATCTCCCCAACCAACAGCCAGTATATCTCAAAGGTCCGAGTGCAAAAGAAGTGACTCCTGTGAGTAAGCTTTTAGCTTACTTTTCACTGGTCAGAGAGTGTGAGCGCGCCAGGCAGATGACATGGATTGAGGTGGCAGAGCAGTTTGTGTTTACTGGCAAAGAATATAAGGCCCTTACTAAGTCCAGTCGACGTATAGCTGCCTTATGGCCTGTCAACCCAAAAAATAGTGAACTTTATGCACTGCGAATACTTCTTTACAATGTTCGCGGAGCTTCATCGTTTGAATATCTTCGCACTGTCAACGGCGTTATTTATGATAGTTTCATGGCAGCAGCCGAGGCTGCCGGTTATATTCAGGGCTCGGCACGAGGTGGCTAAATGAAAATGGAAAAAACGAAGTCCCCCTTGACTTTTGGGAATTTTTACGAAGTCCCCTTTGACCCTCAACCAAATTTCCTCTAAAAACCTGAAAAATTCCCCAAAATCCCCCAAAAAACGAAACGTCGACTAAAAAAAAAGGTCGCCGTCGCCAATTTTCCGTGTCTCTTCGGTCACAAAAACGAAACCCCCTTTGCTTTTCGTCCCAAAAATGATATCCAGCTTGTAAGCCCACCTCGTGCCGAGCCCTGGTTATATTGCCACGGAAACGGAGTGGCAGAAGTGCCTGGAGAGTGCTTCTGCTATCGCTATGCCTTCTGCTATGCGAAAACTTTACGCTCAAATCCTTCTGTACTGTCGGCCAACAAATCCAGTGCAGTTGTGGAATCTTTATAAGAACTCAATGAGAACACGTTGCCGAACTTCCACGGAATCAGAAAGCTTATTAGATATGCGTTCATTAAAGGCAGTGTCCGGGCAAAAAGTCGATTTTGAGATTTTGTGTTTACCCGGGCCTAATCGCCATGCTGAATCCGAAAATGCACATTGTAGAGCGCGAAAATGGCGAAAAACGACTCTAACACAGGAGGGAAATGAGCAGGTGGGCGGGGTCCTCCCCACTGCGAATTCATGTTCCCGGCTTCCGAAGCGGCCTTCTCGCTTCCGGTTTCAGGTCAATCATCCGCACTTGACCGGTAGCGATGTTAGGACGGCTAGCGGAATCGAGAAAATCGCTCCGGGAGCTGAGAGCGTGAAATCGCACTGGGGAAAGCCCCGCCCACCTGCTGATTTCCCTCCTGTGTTCCATGGTGAAGCTTCTTCCGCCTTGGTTCGCTCTCCTCTACTAAGGCGTTCAGCATAAATGCAAATGAAAACACCACAGCTGAACCCGTCACGCTGTGCATGTACGAAATTCCTTCCAGCGATTCCAAATGTAGTAAAGGAGAATCAGTTATTTGGCTCCACATCCTTCTAAGCTCTGGCTCCCTCGCTTCGAAATTCTCGGCAGAGTAGTCGAAACAGTGTGCATATGAGTCGTACACAAGAGCAGTGGACGATGTTGTATAGCATACAATTAACCCCCAATGCCTTCCACCACACATATGAAGAGGAAGATAGCAAACTCGGTCCTTTAGGGGATAATTGGGGATTTTGAAGGAAGAATTTGTTAGCTTCAACAAAGGGTCAATCACAATAATATTGCTGTTTCGAGTCACGTACAGGAGGTAAGTGTATATTTCTTCATCTCCAAGCCATTGCTCCCCACTTAATCTACTTACAGCAGACTCATCAAGATGGCATCGAAACGTGTGTCCTTCGTCATCAACGAGCTGCGCTTTCACAACGATGCCAGGAATGCTCTAAAGCTCAAATATACATACTACAATGGTACATCGTCAAGTCAGTTTCCCCTGTCAA